CTATTGTCCTAAAGCATATTCTTGTACGTGAAGTGAGAATATTACATGGATTATGTAATGAAATCTGGCACACAGGCGTCTGGCCTGAAGATTGGAGAAAGATCATAATCATACCGTTACATATATGTAAGGTGATCCTTTATTTCCTTCACCGTCATCTAGAGAAGTTCATAAGTAGGCAAATAACACCTGAGCAGGCTGGGTTTGTGAAGGGCAGAGATATTTAAAAGCAAATCCTTAATTTATGAAACATCATAGAAAAAGCCAAATAATATCAAATCCCATATTTGTATGTTTTGTTGATTATACAAAGGCCTTTGATAATGTTAGATGGCTCAAACTATGGAGCATACTGATGACAATGGATGTACCTAAACACTTCACTCACCTTATTAACAAACTGTATCAAGATAACCTGGCAAATATTCGAATGGACGGATGCCTAACTGACGAATCAACTTACATTTTTTAACATTGTTCGTGGTATTCATATTCTTGTGGTGAGATATTAATATAATTATTTAAGTCATAACAATTTCAAAAAATTACTTAATATTATATTAAAATACTTATAATAAGTACTGCAGCAGTTTTTTTAGAACCAATGATGCTATTCAATATGAGACGATATTTTATGGAATGTATTGACAAATGAATTAAAGAAAATGGTGGACATACCGAACACTTACTTTGATAAAAAGTTTAATGTTATTTAGTTTAACTATTTCTTAATTTGGTTTGTAAATAAAATGTTTTGATTATGACTTTAATTTAATACAAAACGTAAAATGTTTGATGTAAAATCAAATTATTCTGTTATTTTATCAAATCCTATTATTAATTATCCTGCTGATATATTTATTTTATTTAATATTTCGTTAACTATTAACTTTATTAAAGGTAGTTTATAACAAAATTCAGAAGTATTGATGTTTTTATCTATTTTTCTTTCATTGCCTGGAGTAATTGCGTTAAATCAGAATTAGGTATGCAGTTGATTTGTAAAATACGATTATCTCGAAAACTGTTGAGTTTTGAAGTTATTAACAGGTATACCTTTTTTTTTGTCAAAATAATGTATCTTTAATATTTTTTATCAAAAATACCGATAACTTAAAGAACAAAAAAGTTAAGTGCAAATGTTTGCTACGTATGTGGCATATGTGGCGCACTCTATTAGCTATATCAAAGTATACATCAAATTATAATTCCTGATATTCAATAGTAACCAGTTGTAAATTTTTATACATAAATGTTTACAAACATTAAAGTTATACTGAAAAATAAAATTTTAAATTTCCCCTTTAACACACTGTATCTTTTTTAATATCAACATTTTATTAAAGCAAGTTGGCTTAAATCGTAATATTTTAAAGTTTAGAATCTGCGGTTTCTTTTTGTACAATTACTTAAGGACCACCCTGTGTAGAGGCAGATTATTGTAATAAAGATATATCATCAAAATATATCAGTCATCCAAAAATGATTATGGCTATGGTTCCATAATTTCGGGTTAATTGTCTCTAGATGTTCCTCTTCCTTAGAGAGTTCATGCAGTTTGTCTAAGGGGGTGTGATCTATCCTTAGTGGTTCGAATTTAATCGCTGTTTGAATATGGTCCTAATTTTGGGAAGCATTAGCGGTTCCACTGGGATGGTTGTCCTTGAATTTATGTAACTCTGGAATGGGGTTTTTGAATTCACATCTGGGCGGAAGATTGATGAGATAAGTTCCTTTTAGGCCCAAAATTTTTGTTGTAGAAGATCGAGTTGTAATTTTGGTTGATTCGGGGAATATTCCTATATAGTGGGCATATGATAATCTTTGTATGATGACATCTCGAGTTTGGACGGGGGTGTATTGGCAAGAAGCTTCTTGGGTGCTCAACTACAGGATTTGTTTGATACAGTCGTCAGTTTTCGATCCTTCTAGTATTGTTTCCTCTTGGCAAAAATATCTTGTGTCGATTCGGGCACATGGTTCTTCCAAATAATGAAAGGATTTTTCGTTTATGAGGAGATATGGCTCAGGAGGAATTTGCGGTAGTTATAGGAAATAAATGATAATAAGTAAAGGAATTAGGATGTAGAACAGGAAAATAAAGAAATATAATAGTATGGTTTAAATAATAAGCATCTACTTTGATGATGTCGTAGTACTTTAGGATGTCTTCGTCTTCGATGTACACAAGCTGATCTGCCTTATGGTGCTCTAGCATTTTATTGATGATCCATTTTATTTCGTCTTTCTTGATCACACTGTTATGGAGAGTGTTTACACGAGAAAAGGTAATGGCTTCTTCTAGGTCATTAAGTAACTGAAGTATAATTTGAAGGGTCTAATTTAATTGGTCCAGAACATTCCTTGCTTGCAAATAATGATTGAAGTCAAAAATGAATGTATTGAAATTCGTGCTGATATTATTTACTTCTGCTATTATTTCTTGGTTGTATGTTAGTAATGTGATAGTTTCGTTGAACTCTTTTATAATCTTCTTGTTCAAACTAATGTGACGATTAAGATGATTTATAAAATTTTCCTGATTCGTCTGTAAGATTTCTATTGCATTGATGTTTTTTCTGCGTTATCTTGATCTAGATTTCCAGAAATTGCTTTGATAATGCTTCCTAGTCCATTAATTAGCCCTCTTCTTTCTCTGCTATAGGGGTAAATTGTTGAGAATTTTTCTTGAGCTGATTTTAATTGGTATCTAAGAGCTTGGTCGAAATTTTGTAAACTGCTAAAATACTGCCAAGTCCATTTTGAATTGCTGTGGTTACTGCATCGTACTGGGTTTCAATTCTTCTTCCTTTATTGGTAGTAGTCTGAAAAAGTGTATAAAATCGTGTGTACTAGTATGAATCTTTGCTTGTCCCAGGTTGAGGGGAATTATTCCTGGATTGTCTTTCAGGTCTTTGATCTTCTCTTCCTCTCCCATCGTCAAGGTGATCCTGTGAGGAAGGTTCAGAATTAGTTTTTGATTTAGGTTGATGTTTTATGTTTTTCTTGTAAACTGCAGCTTTTGATGTGTTTACAGTTACTTTGTTATTCAGTTTTATATGTTTTGCGGAATATCGCGGAAGTATTTTATTTCTGGTAACTGTTTTTCGTGTATAGTTTTTTGTGCTGGGTTTATACGTAATAGGGTCTTGTCTCGATTTGTTTCTATTTTCGATGACTTTATTTTTATTCTCTTGTATATGCCGGCTTACTTCCTTGAATAATTCCTTTGTTATCTCTCTATGATTTTGGATATAATTGTTCAGTATTACTTTCTGTATGTCAACGTCAAAGGGATCTTTTGCGTCGATATGTCCGTTTAATATGTCAATGGGTCTTAACTTCGTTGCTGAATGTATTGAATTATTGTACCCAATTATAGCGTATAGCATTTGTTCTTTTATCGAGAGCTTTGCTTTGGTGTTCCTTAAGATTCGAAAATGTTCGATTAATGTAGAATGAAATCTGTCAATCATCCCGTTGGATTGTGGATTCTCTGGTATCGTATAGTGGATTGAGATTTTATGAGAGTCTATAAATTCTTGTATTACTCCATTTTTAAATTCCGTACCATTATCGGCTACTATCATTGTTGGGAGTCCATGATGTGTTATAAAATTAATTGGGCGTTGAGTACATTTATTGTATTTCCTCCATTTATTGGGTAGGCTTGTCCATACTTTGAAAATGCGTCTATTATGGTTAAAAACTCCTGTCCATCAGCATGGAATAAATCGATGTGAACTATTTCCAGTGGTTTAGTGGGAGTTGGTGTAACCATAAATTTTGGTTTGGGAGGAAGTCAGTCGTATTTATTTTCTTGACATATATCGCAAAAGTTTTTTATGATATCTTCTATGTCCTTCTTCATATTAGGCCAGTAATATCGTTTTCTTATTCGACTTTCTGTTTCAGCTATTCCTCTATGGTTCGTTTCTCCTTCATGATAGTTTTTTATGATTTCTTTGTGTTGTTTTTCTAGGTTAACATCTTCCAATAAAAGATTATATTTTACTAAGTCATATGCGTTGTTTTTAAAAGTTTTCCTGATATTTTTGCAAATTTCTTCTTCTGCTTCAAATAAAATTGTATTCTTGTTTTTCGGGTTGAGGTCTTCCTTAAAAATTTTTCTGGTATCAGCTTTTAACTGATCTTTCAATAGCTGGATATGATAACGTCTTTTATTCGGAAAGGTTTGTATAATTGCTGGAGGTCGTGGATTGTAGTTGACGATTTTGACTATAATTTGGTTACTGTAGAAGTTAAGTGGTTTTTCTGAAGTGGGTATACTAAGAATTGGGTTTTCTATTGCTGTATGCATTGTTTCATTTCCGTCTTTGTTCATGTTTTTGATCTTCGTTTTCAACAGTGTCTTCTGGGATGTTTTGATCTTCGTTTTCAACAGTGTCTTCTAGGATATTTCTGGAATTCATTCTGTTGCTTTTTCTTCTACAATCTCGTCGATTATTCGATCTGCATCTGGATTATTAGTCGTTGACGACTTACAAAGATTTTAGTAACAACGATAATAATTGAAATCAGACTGAAAATATTGATTTTTATATGGTGTTTTTATAATTTTATAATTGCTGATCTTGCAGTCCAATACGTCGCAATTCAGTCGAGAATAATCAAGCGGTAGTCCTGTGTGGAATCCACGTGGTAGAATTTACTGGATGGTAGCGGTCATTGTACTGTAACTCGCATCAGAGTGCTATAGGTGGGAAAGCGATAGTCTGGAGCATTGGAGCGCGGTGGAGTGACTCCTGTTCTTAACTCGAGTTAAGACATCCCGCTTTAATGAATTGTTACACCCGAACGTAATTCTTAGGAGTGAACATATCTCACAGGCTGGGTTTACTTAAATTGTTTGCTTGATTTCTCTTCTGTATTAGAAACCAAGACTTGGATGCATAAACTAGGACTGGAATTATTAGGTAAGGTTGTGATGGTCATATATTTACTTTATATAAATTTGATTTCGGTTTAAAACTCAGAAATAAATGTTCCACAAAAAGAAATTCGTAATTTATTACTTAAAAATGTATACAATAAACATGTACAAACGTTCTACAAATATTATGTTCGATACAATAGCATTTTTACTTTTTTCAAAGCGAATTAAAATAATTTAAACTAGAATATTAAAAGTTCTTAAAGAAATGTTCAAATTTCTGTTCACTCTGTTGATTTATCTTGCTACACGCTTGGTCCACAGATGATGTCATAGAAGGAGGTCCACAACTGAATACGCCAACACGTTGTGACTTTAAATAAAAGACAAAATTAAATTTTAATTGTTTAGATAGACATAAACATACGTAAACCGTTTTAATTCAACTAAACAGAAACTGAATTAAGTATGCATATTTAAAATGCTTCCAGAAGAAGAATTTAAATGCCAAATATTGGAAAATTCAAACCAATCTAATAGTAATTTACTCAAGTCTTCCAAAACTACTGGTGTTGATCGGTTTATCAACAAAGGAATCTACCACCGGCATCATAAATGCCAAACGTCAACTTAAGATCTGTTTTTGAATCAGCTATTAAAATTACATCGTCATCAACGTGTGTCAAGATTTTTCGACATTTAAGACGAAGCTAATATCACCTTATTGATTTGTACGATGATCGTTCCATTTTCGGTCAGAACATTTACTCAAAAAAATCAAATAAAAATATGCCAGTCCCACACATTGATTTCATCATTAAGGCTTTCCAGTCCTGGTAGAATGATTGCCGCTCTCTTATAGTTTTTTTATAGAGCTAAGATTAATACTATTACAGGAATTAATATTAAGCTCAACAGTCTTCTAGGTTGAACCACGTCGATTATCATTGCGCCGAGCTTTCGACATCCTTTTAGATGTCTTCTTCAGGGCTTCCGAGGTCTCAGTCTCCCGATTCCCCAGACACTACTACACTGATCACTAGTCAATGCATTACTAGTGCTGGAAATAGAGGAAGGGTCATTAATGCCGTCGATGGTGACGTGGTTTGGGTGGATGTTGGCGTGGGGGTTAGCGTGGGGATTGGCGCGAACATTTCTCGCTGTAGAATTTTGATGATGTTATTTTTTTACGAGAGGTCTCCAAGTCGAAGGTAACCGTATGCCGTCATCTCTTTTATTGAGAAAATTTGGCCGTTTTTCAATTTCTATGGCTTCTCGGATAATTCTTGGTTTATAGAAGGGGATGGCTGCTATGGTTCTGGAGTTTTCAAAATCAATTTTGAAACTTGCATGAAGATGGTGTTGACTTAAAGCTGAAATTGAGTCGGAATTGCGAACAGATATGGCATGTTCATGAATCCTGTTTTGGACTCTACTATTTGTTTGGCTTATATAGTATCGGGGGCAGTCTGCACAAGGAATTGACACATTTGATGTGAGGAAGAAAAGTTTTCGTATGATGAAGGTCTGAGTATTTGGGTTGAGATTGAGTATTAGATTAATGTCTGTGGATGCTCCTATTGATGTGATTTTCGCGGTAACCGTTTTGGATGAAGGCTTGTTTTAAACTAGAAAGCTAGTCTACTTGCATCAATGCAAAGACGTATTGATGTGCAGACAAGCGTATTAATGACTGAATTAATTTGTGAAGGGGGATGGTTAGAGTTGGCAAGTAACGATGAGTATGGGTGGGTTTTCGATAAACATAATAATGAAAACCTTGGGATTGGTTCTTCTTTCTTTCTCAAAGAGTCTTTCTCAAAAATAGGAAATCTATTTTACAATAAAAGAAGAATATTGTTAATGCAGAAAATACGATAAACAAATTATGACAGTTTAAATCCCTCAACCGAAATCATTTAAAAATTACAAAAACGGTTACTACGTTCTACTTAATGATCTTACCGTAGGATGTATGTACTGCACAGTTTTAAAGAACTGTGCAAACGCTGGCCTTCCAAAATGAGTTACTGCTCTTAAATTCGTAAACAATGACTTATTGGATACTCGCTGGTAGTGACGTTCGCAAATATATAACAATATTGTTCTTAAATCAAACTTTTCGTAGAATTGGGTGATAAAAATATGAATACTCAGTAGCTGTTTTGTATCTTTATTTTCTACTTCTCGGATTATGTCCACTAACCATTCAAATTGCTTTTGAGTTCTGGATACCCAAATGAAGTACACCTAAAACAAAATAATTTATTAGCGATTTTGAGGATTAGCAAAAATTGTGATTAGAAAAGCCAGCCTCATTTAGGGATAAAATCGAGGACAATATTGATGGAATAATATTTCCTGTTACCTTTTGACAATGTGTTCTTGTTTTGCTGGCTTTTTGAGCTATGTCTTTCAGAATACTGGCGAACGGTGTCACACCAATACCTCCACCCACTAATACAGCTACATCGTAGGTATTCCAGTCCTGATGCCCTTCTCCATACGGTCCATCTAAATATAACTACAAAAACGAAAAGTTGAGAATAACTTCATAAATATAAGATATAACGATTATAAAAAATTTCTTACTTTAGGCAACTTCATGCTAGCAGATATTGCTGTCTCGTAAGTACTTCTTATTAGTTTGGTCCAAGGGCCTACAGATCTAATGTGTACTGTTAAATTATCTTGATCGGGTGCAGAAGATAAAGTAAAAGGATGATATTCATTTTTATTAAGGCCCATACAAGCAATTCTAACCCATTGTCCAGCTTTATATTGGAAGTTTTCTGGTTTCCTAAATTCTAGCATCGTCACGCCTGAAAATAAAAATAGTAGCGAAAAATATAGTTTACTCGTATACTCCGGTCGTTAGAAACGAAAATGTTACTGAACCTCTAAAAATCATACGAACAAGCTGAATTTCGCTGAGAATGTCAATTTTGAGACCCCAAAAAATATGCGAAATAGTTTACCACTTTTACCCTCGGGCTTCCCCTTAAAGCCCCCCTCACATCAAAATATTCGATATCTTTTGAATCAAGTGACCTATGATTTTCACGAGATCAATACAATCTATCCGTCTCATTGACTAGCCACTATCAGGTTTCGATAACTAGAGTCTAACCTTAAAAACCTATAGCATAAAATTTTAGATGTTTGTTTAAACTTATCTCAGCTACATTTTTTAGTTGAAAAATTTTTTTCTACAGTGTACAGATTCTTGGTAAATCGATTTTTTTGCGTTTTTACCCCCCTGCAAGGGGAGTTTTAGGGGAAAGCCCGGCGGTAAAAGTAGTAAATTTTTTTGCATCTTTTTTGGGATCCCAAAATTAATATTCTCTGCAAAATTCAGCTTGTTCGTATGATTTTTAGGGGTTAACTCTCTGACGACTGAACTATTTATTGGTACGTACCACTAAACTTTATTTGATATTATAGCGGTAATAAATCGCTCTCAAATTGCCCTTCCTTGGACATTCAGGTTTATAGTGTTATTATATTAATTGTTTATGACTAAATAATAAACTGATTATTTCAGGATAAAAGTATCGAAATAAAATACTTCTTACAAAAAATGATCAGGCCTTTAGAGACACCTTTTCTAACGCCCACGTGAGTAACTCTTACTTGGTGCGTACACGAAGTGGAGATGCACATCTCTCAATTCAGTTGACCGGAGTGAAGAGGTTACGGAGTCCAGGTACACACTTATAATTCTATAGCATCTTGGCAAATGTGACAATATCAAAGGGAAAAGAAACGAGAAACACGATGGAAAAAGATGATGTAGTTCCACGGATAGTACAACGAAGAATTCAGCAAATGTATTTTTTGCAAAATTTTGGAATGTGTTAATTTGTAGAATAATTTTAACATTTAACATTTGTTTTTAATAAGATTTCAGTCCTATACAGATAGTTTCTGATAACTTTTGACGTAAAATAATTAGGAAAGCAGGAATTCAACAGTTTAGAATTCCTATGGCCTGTATGCCGATTCACCACCCGATATATATATATATATATATATATATATATATATATATATATATATATATATATATATATATATATATATATATACAGTGTAGGAAAAATTTTATGGTCGGTATGGACCTTACGTGAGATGGAGTGAGAAACAGCTGTTTAAAAAGAGAGAGGTATATTAGGTACGCCCTTTATATCGCCGAATGGAAATATTAAAAAAGGGGAAATTCAACGTTGCCAAACTTATTGGTTTTATTTGACCTGTTGTCTTTTTTTGCATTTGAACAATGTTCTATCAAGAAAATAAAATGCTCAAGACAATCAAATTTGGGCGAAATTGATTTAAATGGCAGGTTACTGTTTTTTTTTATTGGGAATATGCCACAAGTTTTCTTTACAATAATTGTAATATAAAATTTTGATTTCCATTTCGGAAATCGTTTTATATAAATAAAATTTATTAATGTTTCGTATTTTAAGTATGATTTCCGAACTAAAAATCTAAATATCAAAATAATTTCCCAATATGAAATAATAAACAATTAAACATGCATACAATAACGCCAAATTAAAAAATATTCATACACTAATTTATTTGGCAACGTCTAGTCTAGATTGTCGTCTGGTCAAAAGATCGAGTAACGAGAAGTAGAGGTGGGTCGTGCTAGTTTATCGTTAACAGCGTAGGAGCAAAATTTCGGGCCAAAGTTTTTTAAATGCATTCATTTTTTTCGAATCCTGAGAAAACTAATAAATATTTTTGAAAAAATTAAACGCAGAATGAAACAATACATTATTACCGAGAGCTGAAAATCCCTGAAAACTTCTATAATGTTTATTTTAATAAGTTATAGGGATGAAAAAAAAAACAAAATTTAGTGTGATTTTTAATTTCAAATATCTCATTAAAAAAACTTTTTGTTTATTCTAAGGGACCTTCGGCCCTCGGTAATAATGTAATCTTTCATTCTGCATTTAAATTTTTCAAAAATATTTGTTAGTTTTCTCAGGATTCCAAAAAAATTTAAATTTTTTTGAATGCTAAAAAGCATTTAAAAATTTTAATTTTCATAAACAAGTAACTATGATTGTTTAAAAGTAGTTTCAAGTAAGATAGTACCTACATAAATAAACATAACGGCTATTATCGTTTATGTGTATATCTTTTGAAGTGAAAGAAACTACCTAATGATATATTTATTATAACTTGAAAAATAAACTAAACAATCATCATCATCATATAACGGGGGTCCTACGGCGATTGCCGCTTCTCGCATTTCAGCCTCCATCTTTTCCTATCTCCCCAATCTCCCTCTTCTAAGCCTCTAGATTGCATTGTTTTTGTAATTTCTCTTCTCCAGGAATTTGGTGGTCTTCCCCTTTTCCTTCTTTCTGGCGGAACATACATTAAGGCTTTCTTTGGCCACCGCTCCTCCTCCATTCTCATCACGTGACCATACCATTGTAATTGCCTTTCTTGTATTCTATCTGAAAGAGTATCTCTAATTCCTGTACGGTTTCGTATTTCCTCATTCCTGATTCTTTCCATTCTCGATACTCGACATGACCTTCTAAGATAATCCATTTCCACAACGTCTACTTTATCTCGTTCATTCTTTGTCATCGTCCAACATTCGGCACCATATGTGGTAATTGGTTCTACAATTGCTCTGTATACGCGAAGTTTGGTATGCATCTTTCTTTTATTAGACCACAGTAATGAATTCAGTATTCGGATGCATTTTTTCCCTTGGGTTATTCGGTTTTGTACATCTATCTTAACTCTGCCATCTGCTGATATGATGCTTCCTAGATATTTATACTGGTTGCAGCCTTTTATGACTGCGTTTTCAAGCCTCAGATCTGTGGTATTTCCTCCAATTTTTAAATATTCTGTTTTAAATATTCTGTTCTAAACTAAACAATATAAATAGTAAATCGGACTTACATTTACATTACACGTTATTATTAAATCGCGAATAGTCTAAATTGACATAAAAACATAAGTTTTTCTACTTTACTTCTTGTTAACCGTATTCTTTTTTATTTAAAATTAAACCAGATTTTGAACATGTGTTCACATTTACAATACTTTATGAATATAGTGGTTAAGTTAGGATATACATGGCGATGGTTTTTCCACCGTTGTAATGGACTCTCCATGCAGGTGTACGTGTAGATGAGTCATCTCCAATTAATTGATCAAAAATACACCATGGACTTAAGTCATATTTATTGGTTTCTTTTTCTTGTACTGGTTGATTTTCAATAGTACAATCTTCTTGTTCGTTAATTATAGAAGTAACCAGCTTCTTAACTTTTTGTTTTGTTCTGCACTTTAAATCGTGAATCCATAAATGTACATAATGACAATGTGCCACTCTGTTCTATCCCTCTAAATCTTTTTGCTAAACCCGATATTAGTAATTGTACTATGTCATATACTATGGATGTAAGTATGCCGTTTGCTAAAATTTTATTGCAAGATTCTTGCAGGCAGCGTACCATAACAATCACTGAACTAGCATTCAAGTATTTTTGGTCACTCATTGTACTTGTTATTTCTTTAAACGGCCGTAAAATTTGGGAAAGTTGAGAACAAATAATCCAGTGTTCTTTATTTAGATTAGGTTTAAGTCTAAGTCTGTATTATTTAATACCAATGTGGAATGGGTTGCCTCTTCTAACTCGGTCATTCTTTTTAACATGTAATAGGTGAAGTTCTTCCTAGTTTCCACGTCTTGGATTGGCCGTTTGGGAACTGTGTTCTGTTGTAATTAATACTTTAACAGCCTTTCTGAAGATAAGGTACTTTTTTGAAATGTGTTTTTTTGCAGAATTGTCGAAAAAAGGACTTTTTATTTTATCTATTTGTACACGACAGCATTTAAGTGCGTCCCCCACCAATAAATTTAATCATCATCACACAATATAAATCACAATCATCATAAAACAAAACATATTTAATAGCTTTGACCATATTTTAGGAATTATCAGTTACTGCAAAATTTACTTTTCGTTTTAGACCCGACTGATTAATAATTTCAGTAATCGCTGTTTTCTGGATTATGGTTTCCAGAAAAATGGCAGCAGCCTAATAAAAAAGTTTTGAATACTAAATTTTCGGTTAAATATTGTCCTGTTAATGCGAAGTAACACTCAGTCACTCCAGATGTCCAGAGGTCAGTAGTAATACAGATATTTTCTACTTATTTAACAACTTGCGATCTAATAATTTGCTCACTTTTGACATAACATTCCTGAAGTAATGAACCTGACAAAGTTTTTCTTGTTGGCGGTTTATATCCAGGAATCCACCCTGCAAACTTTTTAAAAGCTGGTTCTTTAACTATGGAAAATGGATGAAACGAAAAGTTTAGTTAATCTTGAAAATCAATCAGTCCAAGAAAAAGAAACTGATAAAGATGACTTAAGTCCATGGTGTATTTTTGATGAATTAATTGGACATGACTCATCTAAACATACACCTGTATCGAGAGGTATAAAAGAAGTCGACATGTAATTGTCTGATGATATATTACCCACAAACAATTTCGAACGGAGATTGGAACTGTCCATTACCGTGGTGAAAAAACCATCGCCATGTATATCGTAACTTAACCACTATATTCATAAAATGTTTTAGTATTGTAAAAAAATCTTTTCCTTGTGAACACATGTTTAACATCTGGTATAATTTTAAATAAAAGAAGAACACGATTAACAAGAAAAGTGGAAAAACTTATGTTTTTAAATGTCAATTTAGACGATTCGCGATTTAATAATGTGTAATGTAAATGTAACTATTTAAGTACCATTTGTATTATTTA